CTCACCCTGAAGTTCAGCCGGCCCGCTAAAAGTCGTTTCGCTTTGCGTGAGTGTTGGGGTTGCATGTGTACTGATGAGTGCCTGAGTGACGCGCAGCCGAATTTGGCAATTCGGCCCAACTCAGTCATGCAAGCGGGTCTCAAGTGCGTTCAGTGCGATGTCTTTTTCCGACAGTTTGCCCGTGTTCCGGAACAGGGCAACCGACAGTGAAAGAGGACTTGGAACGCCCCACCAACGCTTCTACATAACCTTCCTGCCAGCCGTCGGTCGATACCGCATCCTCCTGTCGAGATGCAACATGCAAAAATGAAGCCGGCCGCCGCCTGGTCTCCCAACGGACGGGAGATGCTCTGCAACACTATGCGTTCCAGCGTCCTCACCTCATCCGCTCTAAGGGGCGGGCGTTGTAATTTGCGTCCGCAAATAGGTCTTCGTCGCCAAACCTGTTTTTCGCTTTGAGCCCAGCACCAAGTCCGCGCTGTTCGTGCCAAGTACGTGCTTGCAAAACGCAACGGAAGAAAGCAAACTCCGCAGCAAAGTTGGTGCGCAGGAGGGTTCAACGGACTCCATGAAGTTGTAAAATACCACTTCATCCAAAGGCAGCGGAATCAAATTCTTCGACTTGCATGATTTGACATACCTTGGAATTGGGTGAGCCCTCCCGTTCAACGCGTTCGTCGCCTTGCGGCTCAAGGTGTTGATGAGGACATCCTTCAAAGTGCCTGTTCCAAGACCTCTCAGTCTGGAAGAAAAATAGGACCTGGCTATCTCAAAGTGCACGGGGCAAGCATGTGTCACTGCTAACCACTTCTTGATCGCCATTCATTCTTTGGTGAGTTGAGCGTCCCAGTCTGTGTAATTCTGTTTCTTAACCAATCGGGCGCCAACTCTTCCAATGCAAGTCTTCTTGCAGGACGAGTCACAATCAACGTCTGTCAAATCATATGCTGACGGTGGCGTCGGCAAAGGTCCCCTAAACACCGGCAGCGAAGGGAGTTGTGGGCGCCTGTTCATCACCTGCCTTCCCACGGCCGAGGAGCCTTCTTCCCCCCCTCTGTATCCTCTGCAGCCATGGTCCTAGAAAGTCCAACCAACAAGGTGTAACAGAGCCACGAGTAATGCCAGTGCGTACTGCAATATCCGCAATGAAGCCCCAATGTCAAGCAACACGAACTCAATGTTGGCCGCTTGCTGTTTAATGCGATATTCCAGTTTGTCAAACAAATCGTTGGACTGTTCAATCTGGCCCTCAAGCCGATGCAAAAGTTCCACCACGCCTGGGGTGTAAGTCTCGAATTGTCTTCTAGGATGTCTGGATCTCCGCCCTTGGATGTCATCAATGATCTCTGTTGTACTTTCTCGGCTGATGTTGTTAGGATTGATTGGACATTCCTTCGCTCCTGCGCCTTGCAAGGCGTGATGTGCACACGGATGAGCTGCTTGTTCTTCCTGTCGAGTATCCAATGATCCTGCTTTAGAGTTTCGGAGTTGCTGCCTTTTGGCAACAAAGCTGATGGCGCCAGTCATCAACCCTCAGCGCAATCCGACCTATGCGATCCTGGGCAACGGATGTGCCAGATCCATGGGCAGCTGGTGCAATCCAGCGTTTTACTCAGGGCATTGAACCCACAAAGGACCTGACCTCTTATCAGAGCATTCCGGCCGAGACCAAGACACACATCCTCCTCAGCATCAGCCAGCTGCGGAACCTCTATGAGCACACACCTCAATGTGACAAGATCACATGCAAGGCTTTCGGCGTCAAGCCCGACATGCGCTGGTCGATCTTGCTGGAGTGGCAAGAATGAAATCACATGGAGAGATTGCTGCAAAAGGGCTCACGATGCTGACAACAGCATCAAGTCTCCTTCCGAGGATTACTCCAAGAGAGAAACTGTTTGTGCGTCCAAATCACCCGAGACAAAAGAGGTTTACGCCCTCAACCCTCACACAGTACTTTAGATGCATCCGGACTTTCCTAGCCTTTGTGCGCTCCACCGCCTTGTCAGTGGGAGAGCTTGAACTGGTGCACCTAGTCGACCTCCTGCACGCATGCGAGAGCTTGTCATTGCGCGACGAAGATCGCCAAAGCGTTCGCATCGCACCTCGATCGATGCTCAAAGCTCTCTCTTGGTTAGGCCGTGTAGGCCGAGTCCTGTCGCTGACTGCGCTGCTGGCCAACCCGCTCGCCAGGGCCTTCGCACTCCCGCGACAGCCTCAAGAACGCAGGAAAGCCTTGCCCTTGCCTCTAGGAGTCATAGCAGCACGGGAAAGCAAAGTATGTTCCGAGGATTGCTCTCCAAACCTTTGCGTGGCGTTAGGTTCCTTTCTCTTGGCTGCGCATACCAGCATGCGCTTCGGAGACATCCGACGCATCAAAGTGGATCAGCTCAGCTTGACATCCCACGCCTGACAGGACGCAGCGCGCAGTCCTCTTGGGTGCTGCGCTGGCTGCGCTGCGTGAGCGTAGCTTTTCAGCACAGCGCTGCGAAGCCACTCAACTTGCCAGCGCCGGATTTCATCCTGCCACCTTTGCAGGCCCGATGGCGTACACGCATGCGCTCGCCCTTCTGCGCTGGGCGGTACAGCTGCCTTGGCTGCCTCAGCCTTCGTCGCGGCTTAACCCCGAAGAAGCGCAGGCATTTACTTTGCATAGCCTCAAAGTTGCCTTGCTTAGCGCGGCCGCGCAAGTGCGCTTGCCCGAAGAATCGCGTCGCCAGCAGGGGCGCCGTAGACTAAGCTCAGTGCAGCTGCGAAGCAGAGACGAGACTGTCGAAAGCGTGTGGGTCCAGGCGCAAATCGCGTCCGCACTCATCCGCGGCTGGCGCCCCACCCGTCCGCAGTCGCGTGGCGGCCAACACCCGGTCTTCGAGCCAACCTGTAGCGCGCAACCAGGCCCAGTGCCGGATAGCGTCGCACTGAACTCCCTGCCTGCGCAGCTTCAGATGTTTGTGTGTGCGCGCGAGATACACTCTCAGGCATGCCCAGCAGACCCAGAAGCCCAAGCAGTACAAGAGGTTCCTTCCTCCGATGAGTCAAGCGCACAAGACTCAGGCGAAGAAGACGCACGCGATGCAGTGGCATGCATTGTCCTCCTCCGCAGTATGCCTGATCCAAATCACACCTGGCGCGGCGTTGCGTGCTGTGTACAGCTCTTACAAGAACCTTTCTCTCGCATTTTGCACCGCATGTGGCCTAGCCCTCACACCGCCCTTGCGATGCATGGACTACCTAGGGCAAGAACATTTACGCAGGCACAAAGCCTGCAAACACGCATTCGCTCTCATGCAGTGGCGCAGGAGTCAGTCAGAGCCCGCGCCTCGCGGACACAGCCGAACCGACCAGCGCTACGAGTGCCCTGCGCAGTTTGCTATCCAGTGCAAAAGTCCCAGACGTCCTGAGTGAGCGCATGCTCACATTGGGGTTTGAGGACATGGCTGATTTCGCAGCGCTCGGTGTCAGTGATTACACTCACTCCATCCCAGCGGCTCGCACCCGGAAAGCCCTGGGCATGGCCAAATCCATATTTTCACAGGACGCGTGGTCCTGTGCACCTTCCCACGGAGCTGGGCAGTCAGGACCCCCCCTTGCAGAAACGCATGCGTCGCCCGTCATTGCATGGGCAGACCACTTGCCCCCCAAGCTGTTTGCACGAGAGCACGCGTTGCTTCGTGTCAACGCCACATTGCAGGACCAGCCATTGGTCCTGTCGCAAAGAGAAGCACGCTTTGCTTCCTGCATATCACGATACCTCCGGTCATGTTTCACACCCCTAGGGCCCCTAGGTAACACACCCTGTGAACAGGTTGAACACGCGTTGTTAACCTTGGGGGTATTTGTGCAGGCTCCGCAGGGGGATGCAGGTCAGGGGATGGACGAGAGCGATTGGGCCGATCGAGTTGTGGGTTCCCCCCTTTATATTGCTGGTCCCCTCTTGGCTTGAAGCAATGAACAGGATTCTAACTTCTGCGTCTGGCGCAACGCCCCGATGGTCTTTATCTCCAGCACCGTTACGACCCGGTGGAAAAGGAGGCGAAGACCGTGGTTTTCACGCGCTACAACAGGCACGCCTTCTTCCACCGCAGCGCGTGGCCAGTTTTTGAGCTGGAGTGCAGTCCGCGCTGGGTTCTTTCCACAAGGCGGACCTGCGCGAGGTGCAGCCTGCTCTTCGCCGGCCAAAAATCGCTGGTCATGCTGCGGTCCCTCGCCGAGATCTCAAGCCTGAAGCTGCGCGCGAAAAGCGGCGGGCAGTGCGTAATCCGCGAGCTGCCGGGAGCTGCCAAAGGTTTCGGGAGGGTGACTGTATTTTTTGGGACGCATTGTTGCGAGAAAGCAGAGGGCACGCAACAATTCTTCGCCCAAAGGCTTTCAGTCTAAAGATTTTGGAGTTAACATTTTGACATTTTGTTTTCACACGTAGTACTTCATGGCATTGTCCCATCATGGTTGGCTTGACAAGACGCATGAGTTGCCAAAATGAGCATTCATTTTGCGCTGGTGCGTTTTATGAACAGACAGGTGGTAAGCGGCAAAACGCAGTCAATTGAGCAATCCTTTGTGCCTTGATATCGAAACATGTTACCGCGCGTTCGTATCCAACAATTTTCGACGATTCCTGTTGAATCTTTGGCCCATATTCCACGTCGATGTTCGATCCTAAAAAACAGGTGCGCCCAAACCGTTTGTGTGCAATATCGCGGATCAAAACGTTGATGTTTAGTCTAGGTAAGGCGTGCCTCAACTTTTTTTGCGCAGTCCCAGGGCAAAACCAATGCCCCAAGTCGAACCTGGCCTGCCTTTGCAGCCGTGAAAGTCCGTGACCTGCTGCACAGATAGGCTGGGACGTGAGTGCCGAGTCTTCTTGGATTGCAGACACTTGGACCATTGAATGCCCATATTAGCCCATATTTGTCGGTTTGCCACGATTTGGCACGATGATTTGATTTGATTAATCGATTACCCTAGGTTCGAAAGGGAACTGGTAACTGGTAAAATGGGAGGGACATATGTTGGCCAGTGATATCTACGCGTCCATTGCCATGGCCACGTCCATGCGGGCTTCGCGAAGCGAGTCAGCAGCCACCAACTGCCCTGAACGAGTTGCCTTGGTTTTGGATGATGTGTATGGCCGATGGTTTGCCATGAAGATCGATGCGCTGCTCTTGAATGACCCCTTTGTTGTTCTCGAAGCAGGCGACAGTAAGGAGGACTTGATGAATCGACTACGGCAGTCTATGTTGCTCCACTGCCAGCCTCTTGTTCTTTAAAAAAATTCGGCGGCTTTTCATTTCAGGGTTTGGACATCAGTCATGTTCGATGATTACTGTGTGCTGAGGTTCTATGAGTCGCAGAAGACTTGTGACGGTGTGCGAAATGCCAGGTTTCAGGAGCGTTTTGGAAGCTCCAAGCTGCTTCAACAACATTACAGTGCCAGGGCCCCAACGAGATCGGTGTGCTATGGTCCAATGCTACCGGGAACTGGTTGAGAAGAACTGTCGCGCAGTTGTGCAAGGGGAACTCGTGGTGGTAGCAGATCTGCAGCTGCACAACAAGTGTGCTTGAAACCAGATTGTCCTTGTATCGGTCAATAACAGTGAAATGGCGAGGCTTGATGCATGAACAACCTCCTCCGTGTTGGTATCATCATGTCGACTCAATCCGTGCAGTTCATGTGTGCGAGGGCATCAAGCAAGCAATCCCAGTGACGTGCGAGCAGACACGGTAGGAAAAAGGTTGGACGTCTTAGGGTTGGGGCTGCTTCTTGTTCGTTTGGAGTTGTTTGATTTGGTGGTTTGGTTTACTTGTTTGTTTGGTTGCTGGATGGTTGGCTTGTTTTTGTTTTGCTTGGTTTTGTTTGGCTGCGTTGTTGCTATTGGGTTTTGTTTGTTTTTATTTGCTAGTTTTTTTGTTTGCTTGCTTGCTTGCTTCCTTGCTTGTTTGTTTGTTGTGTTGGTTGGTTGGTTTGTCTAAACTTCACCTCCATATCCCACCTAAGCCTCCCTGTGCAAGCGCCGGTGTTGCTGCTGGTGTCGGACCGCATTCTGAGAGCGTGCTTCAGTGCAGACAAGCGCCGGAATGCCAAGAACACAAACACACAGCCAACAACCCAAATCAGCAGAAACCGACACAACCCTGGAGTGTCTCTCTCGCTTTGTGATGTATGTTTGCTACTCTCTTATGTAGGTGTGTCATCCAGACTCAGGGAATCGCGAGCTCAAAGAGTTTAGAGAGTTGTTTGTGATAGAAGTGGCATTCCAGGGGTTGTTGTGTCGGTTATTGCGTATATGTTTCATCTCCATTGGGATCGGGGTTGTTGGTGCTGTGTTTGTGACGCTGTGTTCGTGTTGGCCTTCCGGCTCTTTGCTCCTCACCGCTGACGTAGGCTGACTTGACAAATGCGCAAACACATGGGTTGTACAGCTTAAAGCGTCTTTGCGGAAGTTTGGTACTTGGACATTGGGTCTGTTTCTTGTCGCGTTGTGATGCCTGTGCACTGTGCAGTGAGGTTTGCCAATGAGTAATCAATCTTTTGGACTTGCTGCTTTCAGCAGTTGTCCTTCGACTGGTTCGTTTGTGTTTGGGGCTGACGAGCTGAGCATTAGGGTTTGGGGTGTCTCTCTTTTTCTTTCTTTCTTTCTTTCTTTCTCTCTTTCTCTCTTTCTTTCTTTCTTTCTTTCTTTCTTTCTTTCTTTCTTTCTTTCTTTCTTTCTTTCTTTCTTTCTCTCTCTCTCTCTTTCTTTCTTTCTTTCGTTCTTTCTTTCTTTCTTTTCTTCTTTCTTTATTCTCTTTCTTTCTGTTCTTTCTTTCTTTCTTTTCTTTCTTTCTTTCTTTTCTTTCTTTTCTTTCCTTTCTTTCTTTCTTTTCTTTCTTTCTTTCTTTCTTTGTTTCTTTCTTTATTTATTTCTTTCTTTCTTTCTTTCTTTCTTTCTTTCTTTCTTTCTTTCTTTCTTTCTTTCTTTCTTTCTTTCTTTCTTTCTTTCTTTCTTTCTTTCTTTCTTTCTTTCTTTCTTTCTTTCTTTCTTTCTTTCTTTCTTTACTTTCTTTCTTTCTTTCTTTCTTTCTTTCTTTCTTTCTTTCTTTCTTTCTTTCTTTCTTTCTTTCTTTCTTTCTTTCTTTCTTTCTTTCTTTCTTTCATTCTTTCTTTCTTTCTTTCTTTCTTTCTTTCTTTCTTTCTTTCTTTCTTTCTTTCTTTCTTTCTTTCTTTCTTTCTTTCTTTCTTTCTTTCTCTCTTTCTCTCTTTCTCTCTTTCTCTCTTTTTTTCTCTCTCTCTCTCTCTCTCTCTCTGGTGTACTTGTGCAGGTGTGTCATCCTGGATGACTCAGTCGTTTGTGATAGAAGTGGAAGGGTTGTTGTGTTGGTTGTTGCGTCTTGTTGGGATCGGGGTTGTTGGTGCTGTGTTTGTGACGCTGTGTTCGTGCTGCACCGCTGACGTAGGCTGACTTGACAAATGCGCAAACACATGGGTTGTACAGCTTAAAGCGTCTTTGCGGAAGTTTGATGAGGGACATGTACTTGGACATTGGGTCTGTTTCTTGTCGCGTTGTGATGCCTGTGGACTGTGCAGTGAGATTTGCCAATGAGTAATCAAACTTTTGGACTTGCTGCTTTCAGCAGTTGCCCTTCGACTGGTTCGTTTGTGTTTCGAATCTGCCTGCAGAGCAGAGAGACAGAGGGGAGAAAGTCCTGCAAGAGCAACGGCAGAGAAGTGACGAGCTGACAAAAGTTGTGTTAGCATTAGGGTTTGGGGTGTCGCTCTCTCTCTCTCTCTCTCTCTCTCTCTCTCTCTCTCTCTCTCTCTCTGGCGTTAAAATTGGTTGCTACTTTTACTTACAAGTGCAAGTGCTGTAGTGTTCAAACAAACAGTCAACCAATGTAGTCTGCAGCTGCCAACCTTTTGACTCATGCGATGTAGTGAGCTCAAGGCCTGCAGTAGTGAACATACATGCAACACAAATGCAGGAAGTGAAGCATGTAGTTTGACACGGCCCCTCAGTTAAAAGGTCTTTGTAGTACCTTTTCAACTGAAGTGCAAAACATGGATTGACAGTAGTGATGAAAGCCATTGTTGTTCATCAATTCTACTGTAGTGGCAAAAAAGTAGTAACCTGCACTCAGTAGTTCACGCTGTTCATGTTCCAGCTCGATGTAGTGGCGCTGGATGGAATTCGTGAGGCAGTTACTCATTGTAGTAGAGCAGGAGCTCAAGCATGTAGTGCCCAGTTCTGGGCGCGGTAGG